TTCTGATAGGTAAGAGTTAGTGAGGAAACTAGTTTTTTGGGTTAGTGGCCAAAGAAGAGGTGGAGGGTTGGTCAGTGGTTCCGATATTGGGAAGTCTTTTTTTTTCACGGAACTAGGCTGATGTTCTTGGACGAAAAGATTCTCTGGCCAAAAACTGGGAGAACAAATCGTCTTGAACATCAGCGCGGGCACACGAATCTTGAAAGAAGACGTGCGCCGTGTATAATTATATTTAAATTTTTGTATGTCCTCCAATCAATCAATCTCTGAAGTATCAGGGGCAAGCCGAGAAACAAATATATGTTTCGATGGAGGAATCACCTGTAAGGGTTTTGGTGTCGCAGGTACGAGAACTGCAGCATCAGTCGGTGCCGGTGGTCCGGACTGTGGAATACCCTTTTGGGTGACTCTAATGGGTGTTTCGTTCCCTAGGACCTGTGGCATCACTTGAAGGTATGCCATGGCGGACATATCGGACAATTGCTCATTATCCCTGAGAAATTCGGAGGAATTTTTCTCAGTTGTAGCCCTTGGGGTGGCCAGAGATATAAGCGGCTGCATTTATGTCGGTTGAGCAGGCTGAGGCGGATCAGAAACAGCGGATTTCTTATGCTTAGGGGACTTATTTAGCAGCTGAAGGCCACTAAACTGAGTGTCCAGCGCACAGAGCTGTTCATTAATTTTACGAAAACCAGTGATCAGCTCTTTAAATCCATTTTTGGTCTGTCTCATGAACGACCTCATTTCGCCTTGCACAGCACGACAATTTCCACAACAATAATGTATCCCAGACCTACGGGAAATGGCATCCGAAACTGATGCAGTGAAACCGGCACACTTGCCGTGCACGACGTTTTCACATAACCAGCAATGGATGCTAGGCTGGGATGTGGAAATTGTCTTGTTACAAGACTTAATGGCACAGACCAGTTTAAATTCCATTTTATTTATTTATTTTTTTTTTTTATTTAATAAAACAAAAATTAATATTTAAAAAGTTAAAAAACACAATACCTTGAACCACTGTGCCAAACAAGAAGCCGAAGCGGGAGCTTTGAAAGAGTGCAAAAGAGAAATGCAGAAATATAGATAAGCCGGGGAAGAAGCAGAGCTGAGCTATGCTTGGAATATAATTTAGACAAATTATTTATTCGACTCCAAATATACCACAGCACTCGCGAAGCGATACGGTTTAGGCTTTAAGATTGTTAAGATTCACAAGATTTAATTCACAAAGTATGTAAACACCGGTTTACCAATATTTGTCATAAACGCAGTGCGCACAAAAAAAACACGACCGTTCGCTTGAAAGAAAGAGAGGGAAGTTGAAGTTTGGCGATTCATCATGAATAGACTTACGTCTGAACAACGCTTGAACGCGTCTGAGCAATAGTCCAATTTTATTTCGAAAATATAGTATTGTGCGGAATACGTATCACGCACTAGGTCCATTTAATCGTCTACAACATCGTCCATCAAATCAGCTAATTCGATTCACCATGGAACGTTTTTGCACCACGTTTACTCTTATTGATAACTTGCATCCCCAGAGACGCAGTACGGTGTGTACAAAAGAAGGTATTGCTACTGTAGAGCGTAGCATTGAGGAAGAACCAAATGAGTCCATCCGCCATCGAGCACAGGAATTAAATCTGTGTCCATCCCATTTATGGAAGATTTAGCGGTAGGGTCTTGGTTTTCATGCTTACAAAATGCCCCTCGTGGAAGAATTGAACATATTAACATGTCACAGAACTCGTGACACACTCGATTTATTGAAAGACACTTCCGGTTGCCGCCTAATTTCGTTTTTGGACCTGTGAATAGGGCTCCAAGATCTTGTGATTTAACACCGTTCGACTTCTTTCTGTGGGGCAATGTAAAGTCATTGGTCTATTCGGATAGACCTAGATTGACCATTTGGAATACCACATTCGTCGTGTTATTCCTGATATACGACAACAACCAATGAGACCTATGATTTTTACCTAGTCGATCTCTCTGGTCATTTATTATAATACGGGCTTTGTTCAAACTAGCTACTAATATTACTCCATATTTGTTGATGGTATTGTATTTTGATGATTTGTTTAATTTTGAAAATCGAAAATCGCAAGCATTTATTTTGTAGCGTGTACAATTTATAAAAGCGTTTGCTAACACAACGATTTTTATCAATAATATAGTAAACGGGTATGCCAATTTTTTCTGACTCTATTTTAATGTTTACTGTCGAGAGCAGCCGCTGGCAGAAGCCGACTCTCTCTCGGCTGCTCGACTTAAACGGGCCTTTCTTTAGACAGTTTTGTCGTCGCAATGTCTAGGCCTGTCCGCCCTTTCCGTTATCGAGAACTTTAGCTTCGCAATGTCTAATCGGACAAAAAAGTCCCTGCATGCACCATAAACTGGTAATGATGATCATACGGTTTCATCTGCATGCAGAATAAACATTCTTATAACGTTTAAATAAATTAATTCGTCTTTGTATTTTGTGCGGATTAAGGTCATGAAAAATCTCAATGACCAAACAATTACATTTGCCAAGAATCGGCTGTTTTTGTCCTTATTAATCGCATATTGGGGTATTGTCTAAAATTCTATATTTCAACCCTTTTATGTGTGGCGTATGATTACTAGTAAGGTTTTCTTTGTCTATACCATTATTCATAAAAAAAGAGGGTTGGAATACAAAAGTATCTCTAATCTAAGCTTTGTATACCCGAATGCTATTGCGCATGGGTTTGCTTATCACATAGAAGAGAAAAAAATGTGTTAGTTTACATATTACTGGTTAATAATATTGTGTTTTATAAAAATCAACATCAGATATATATTTTGAGAAAATAGCAGCGCTTTTCCGCATTGACCGGCATATTATGCAGCCTTTATTGCGTTACTTTGCTCACTTGCAAAGTTGCTGCTCCAGGACAGCGAGATTCTTCTCGTAATGTTCTTTCTCCTAGGGAGATCAACTATCTTTATGAAGTCCTTGATGAATCCTCGTTATTATTATTGTTGGAGGAGCTTCCCTTTCGTACACTTTCCTTCTTCTTCTTGCGCTATCGTTTCCTTACGTGCATTGTACTCAGCTATCGTGAGTGGGCGTGGTCCATGGGATGGACACACCGCTAAAGCATCTTGTAGGCGTGGTGCAATCCTTTGCTCAACAGAAGATGTCTCCCCAAATCCGGCGTTGCTCATTTAAGATTTCTATCCAACGTAGGTGCAAGCAACGACTGCCTCTGAAGCTTTATGTTATTTTATTTATTTACTTATTTTTAATTTTTTGGACATATTTTTGACATATTAGCATACACATCATTTGAGTGTATTTCACATTCACTATATCATCGGTGATCACAGGCCGGCTATCAAAAAGATAAACAATTTCCAGCTCCAATCAAAAAGAAAACAATTTCTTAAATAAAGAAGACAAATTGTTGTACAATGTATACCTGGCGCAAGGTGTAGATACGGAAATAAATAGTGAATTTGACGTTCATTCTAATATGTAAAACTTACACATCCCTACCTAAGAATTAACACCGATTTTTGGAAGAGAAATCAATACTCCGACAACGAGTTATATGCTTTAAGAAATGTTTGTTATGCTGTGCCAACTCAGGTTAGATATTTTGGCGATTTGTAGAATAACTAGATCCTTCCGACCTCTTGGTTACCAATTTCTAGGTCTAATTTTGCTGAACACAATCCATTTCGCGTTATTTGTAAAAATTACAGCTCATTGTCCCGGGGATACCGAAACTATCCCTAGATGTAATTAAATAAAAAATTATGGAATCTCTTTTAGCTTAATTATCCTTATTTTTAGTTATAATAATCTAAAATAAAAAATAATTGTTAATAAATAAATAAATAAAATAATTTAAAATTCCTTTTTTTTAATTATTATTAATTTATTCTTAACAGGTGTCGATTGAACGAGAGTTCTTTACTAATACTGATCCTGACTAATAACTAAATCGATTAAGCCAGGATGTTCTGGAGGACGTCTTTCAGGTAAAACTTTATCCCAGCTTTTTGGACTTAACCATTTCTTCCTTGGATATTTTTGAAAATGATGAAGAAATATCGTTAAGCGATCAAATATAGAATTGAAAAAGCTAAAATTATTCCAAACCAACTTATTAAGAAAAAATCATTTTTAATCCCAAGAAGTAGCCATAAAATTGGTCCTTTTCTACTTCTTGAATTTTCGCTGCTAATCGAAAGCCACAATTCTGAAAATCAAAAGCAACCGAATATCAATAGTCGACTCATGCTGCAGCAGAAACAAGCCACAGCGCAGCATTTCATTTTCACGACCGCGACTTTTAACGACCACCGAAAGTTGCCGGCTGCTGTAGCTTTGACTTACGCTCATGATCGAAAGCCGCAGCAAACCAGTAAGCAGAACAATTTAAATCGGCGACTGCCGCTGCTGTTTCTTTCATATTGACTGCTTTAAAATTTATGCTTTTGCTTCGTGTTTTTTTGGAAGCAGAGGCAAATACTCATTTTGAAAAGTCGCTCCCAATTGAAGCAGCTGGCAGCAAATACATATATTACTTTTGTACTGCGACTGCAGTTTTTTAAACACTGGTTAAAAATAGTAACTTTGGTATTTTTAAATATTAAAGGTTTTTTAAAATTGATTTTTTTTTTAAGTTTGAATTCCTATAAATTGGTTTTATTATTAAATTCTCATAACGACCGGTTATTTGGATTTATATCCGACCTTGACTGCAAGGGTATATCACTTCGGCTCCGCCCGAAATTAGCTTTCTTTTCTTGTTTTTTTTTTTTATATTTTATTTCTACAAAATAATCATAGAAATAAGATCATAGAATCATAGAAATAAGAACAGAATTCAATATTTTAGTATTTTATGTGATGGAGGATGATTGACGCCATTGGTAAAAATAGTCTAAAAACTGATTTACATTTGTATATACACATACATAAGCATACATCTGAACATACATACAAACAGGTTTTTACAAGTACATATGTAAGTTCTGCGCATGCTTAAGGCCATAAAAGAATGTTCACTTTTAAATAATGTTTTATAATGTTGACATTGAGTCCGGACAATATTAATAATGAAAAGTAACTTGACGATTCGGACACTTATTTATATTTGTAAGAGATTTCATCCGAGTAACTGCACAAAAAATTAGTTTTGTTTAAGTTATTTTAAGGGTTGCTTGTCCTAGGAGAGTGGAAGAAACTTTGAAAATAACAGAGTTTTCCCAAATAAGCGAAAATCATAATATTCGTGCACTCGATAGGGGTCCCTATTTTGATACTTCTGCAACAAAAAATGTGACTTCCTTAGTTGGAAGAACTGGAAATCTTAATTGTAGAATAAGGAACCTTGGAAATAAAACGGTATGCTATATGAAAATGTGAACATATACATATGCCTATTATTATATTGATGATTATATTTCTCCCTAAGGTATCGTGGATACGTCATCGAGACTTGCACCTATTAACCGTATCTGAAAGCACTTACACTTCAGACCAACGATTTTCCTCAATTTACAATAAACAAACAGGAGATTGGTCTTTACAGGTATTTAAGATTTTCGGAGGAAGAACATTTTTTTTCTACTTTAAAGTGCTCTAAAAGTCAAAACCCTAACTAAAACCTTAGTATATATGCGATTAGTGGTTAAACTTAGAAATAAATATAATCTGTTTTATTTGTTTCATATTTTTAAAATCAACCCAACTAAAAAGAAAATTTGTAGAAATGAAAAATTTTTTAGTTGGTTGCCGACTTAGATCTTAACTTTGCTAGGCGAAAAAATAACCTCTCGTCTATCCTCAAGATTTTTGTTTCGGAATATATTTGAAACATTCGTTGACGCAAAGTTAGTTGTTTTTGAGTCAAAGAAAAAAAGACTGTTTTAACTGCTTATTATTTTATTTTTTCAGTCTTTTAAAAACTCAGTCTATGAGCACCCAATTGATAAGGTCTTTGAAAGTTATTTAAAAACCCAAATATTTGCGATTATTGTGTTGATTGTCGCAATGGATTTCTTATCAGATGGTAAGCTGCTGTTAGAGGAAAGTTTATTTTTTAAATTAAAACGAATCAAAAAAGTGAATGAAAGAATTTAACCAAATAATTTGGGATGAAAAGCATTCGACGAATTTTATCATTTATTTGATGAGCTGCGGCACAATGAAATAAAATTTGTGGAGTATACCAGAATGAAAATCAGCCTAAAAACCCAAATATTTGCGATTATTTGTTGATTGTCGCAATGGATTTCTTATCAGATGGTGAGCTGCTGTTAGAGGAAAGTTTATTTTTTAAATTAAAACGAATCAAAAAAGTGAATGAAAAAATGTATCCAAATAATTTGGGAAGAAAAGCATTCGACGAATTTCATCATTTACTTGATGAGCTGCGGCACAATAAAATACAATTTGTGGAGTATCCCAGAATGAAAATCAGCACATTTGATTACATTCTGTTAAAAATTTAACTGCTAATTATTAAAAATTAGACTAATTTTAATAAATCCCCAATTATACCCGCAGAAAAGTTAATTGTAACGTTAAGGTAGAAAATTATTCAACGATTTTTTTTCATAGGCTCTCTTTCATAGGTGCTGGAGAAGAAACCAAGTGGATGTGTCTGCCCGTTGAAGATCTGATGCACTACGGCACCCATGACGTCAGATGAATCGGTGGCCAGCGTTAAATGCGAGTTGGCTGCCCCGAAGCGTTTGCAAGCTCGTTCTTGCAGGCGGTGAATGCGTGATCGGCTTCTGATGACCAGAGTATCGGGATTTTGTCGTTCTTTTTATTGCCTTGAATGAGCGTCTGGAGTATGTGTTGGTTCTCGGCTGTTCGTGGGATAAATAGCCAAGAAGTTGATCAAACCCAGAAAATTTTTTTGGTTTTTAGCAATAAGCACTTTTTAAAGTAGCGGATGGCTTCCAATTTGGCTTTAGATGGTTTCAAGCCGTGCTGTATGATGTCTATGTTGCTGTTGTTCGCGTTCCCCCACAGCTGAGAGCCATACGTCCAGATTGGATTTAGGACTGAATTGTAGAGTAGTAACTTGTAGTCCAGGCACAGTGCCGATCGTGAGTTTAAGGTGGATACCAAGGTACGTTACTTCGTTGGCTTGAGGGCATACCGTTTAGTGAAAGCGGAAGACATGTTTGTCTATTAAGAGTAAACGTTACATTTTTAAACTTTTATTCGTTTATTTTTATGCGCCAGTCGAACAGCCACCTTTCCACTACAATAAGATTATTAGCGAGTTGATTTGTTGCTTGGGTTGGGCATATGGAGCAACTAAGGATAGCGTCGGCGAACGTTGACGTTGTTAGTTGTTTGTTCGTCGGAATATCCGCAGTATACAAAACATAACGACAAGGGCCTAGTGCGCTTGCTTGTAGAACTCCAGCTTTGATGATGTAGTCGCCCGATGTAGAACACACTATTGTAGAGGTAGCTTGTGGTTGGATGTTGGCAAATACGTTTTAATTTTGTGCATGAGTCCATAAAGCCAAAGAACCTGGTCGAATGATCGGGTTGCTTCTAAAGGTGTTGCTTGGATGCTGGTGATATGCTGTTTTACCAATCGCGACGCGTGCGCCTCTTTTATCGCACGAGCTGTTCATTTGCTGATTGGATTTGTGGTATTTGTTTCGGTCTACTTCCTTCCCTTAGGTTCTCTCAATCTCTCGCTGAAATCTCTAGATGCCGCAACGAGTACTTTTTCCAGGGCGCTCGTAGAGTAGTGTTGAGCCGATTCCATGTTGAGTCCATGTTCTATGTGGGCACTCACGTACTTTTTGTATTTAAACCAGTTTGTTTTTAGCGACGTCAAGCTGAAAGGGTTTTTATTATTTCAAGGCTTTCAGGGCAAAGAGCATAGGGGAGAGGTCTGATGATAGGTCCGAGACTGCTTTGAATCCTAGAATCTACCCCTTACTAGATTATTAGATTATTGACGCAAAGTCAATAAGGTCTGGAAGGTTGCGTGGGTCTTTTGGACAGTATGTAGGACTTCCAGGGAAAACATAGACCAGTTTATTTCTTACATTTATAATTGCATTGTACAATTGCCTTCCTTTGGGAGTCATTAGACGTGATTTCGAGTGCGTATTTTTGGGATTGTAGTCTCCAGCGACTATAAAACGATCCCCGAGTGAATTGTAGAAGTCCACAAATTGTCCTTCCGAGATTGAGAAACGAGGAGGGCAGTAAACGGCAGCGATTGAAAGGATTCCGTTGCCTGACTGAATTTTTATTGATGTGGCCAGCAAGAAGTTTGTTGCAAACCTTTTTTTGATTAGAACTCTGATTAGAACTCCAGTTCCGCCGTGGGCTTTCCCATCCGCATGATCTGTGCGGAAGATTGTGTAGCCTCTTGCGTTTTCACCAGTAGCATAACGTCAATATAGTTTTCGGTCAAGAATTGTGACAATTCTAGTTTATGCCGTGAGACACCATTAGCGTTCCACATTGATATTCGTAGAGCCTGCATAGATTATTTAGACTGTTGTGCTACGAGCAGCTGTACATGGTAATACAAGTCTGGTTTTGAACAAGTGTTGTTTGCATAGGCTTTTTCATTAATGAAATAAGCTCCATCATATTTTGTTGGTGGGTAAGCATCATAGTTTCCGTTTTGCCATGTTGGTGTTCTTGGGCCTTTTGAGCGCTTTGTGAGTTAATGAATTGGATTTTCCATTCCTGATCGTAAAGCATCGGCATAGGAAAAGCCGATGGTGGTGTTTCCCCGTACAGTCTCCGTATGAGGACCTCGCAGCTTTAGCGAAGAAGACGTCTGGCGTAGCTTTTGACGCATGTTCTGTGGATTTTGATTGCGCGTTGCGGTCGCTTGTCGCATGTTACTCTTCAAATCTTTGTACATCACACATCCTTTATAGTTCGCCGTAGTTTCCACATTTTTTCACGGTACTGTCCTTGTTTGACTACACATACAGCCCGAAGTGTGCAGTATGACATAGTGTGTCCATACTCTTGGCAATTATTGCATTGTATGAAATGTTGCGTTTATGTGGCTCTTCCACAGTTATTCTTCGATGCAAAAGATATTGCACCTGGTAAATTGGGTGCACTTCATTCTTCTTTAGCGATTTGTTTTCTAGCTCGATCTCGACCTTGAATAGGGGTTGTGGCTTTTTGTCTTTATATAGAATGTTAATAACATTCTTGTCAAGAATGTCAAGCCCTTCTCTTTAAGGGCGGTTTTTATTTCCGTGGCGGTAACATCGGTTTTGATTCCCTTTACTACCTCTTGTAGGCCATTTTTGCTTTTACGCTGGTACGTGTAATAGTTTTTCTTAGCATTGCATAGTGGGCGATTGGATCTCGCTAGCGGCATTTTATTAATAACTTCTAAACTAAAATATATGTCTTCAGTCGGTTTTTTTTCACTAATCAGAGAAAAATCATAGAATTTTCTATGTTAAAAAAAATTTGCAGAGGGTATTATAATTTTGTCCAAAAGTGTGCAACGCAGTGAAGGAGACATCTCCAACCCTATAAAGTATATATATTCTTGATCAGGATCACCTTCTGAGTTGATACGAGCATGTCCGTCTGTCCGTCTGTCTGTCTGTTTCTACGCGAACTAGTCCCTCAGTTTTAAAGCTATCGTCTTGAAACTTTGCACACACCCTTCTATCCTTTGCACGCAGTATATAAGTCGGAACGACCGGGATCGGCCGACTATAGCTTATAGCTGCCATATAACTGATTGATCGGAAATGGTGTAACTTTGGTGTTTATAGAGTTAGAGAGTTTCCCTAATTTTACATGGGAGCTACTTTTGGCAAAATAATACGACTATATATATATAAAAATACGACTATAAAAGACTCTATCTTATAGCTGCCTTATAACTGAACGATCGCAAATGACCCAACTTTCGTGTTTTTGAAGATAGAACTAAGTACAGATTCTATTTTTGGTCAGTTGATCCAACCTACCAAATTTTATAAAGATCGGCTAACTGTATCTTATAGCTGCCATATAACTGAACGATCGGAAATGGCATTTGGTAGAAATATCAACTTTCGTATTTTTGAAGATAGAAGCTTGGGACTTGTTTTAGTTGGTGGGTAAGCATCATAGTTTCCGTTTTGCTATGTTGGTGTTCTTGGGCCTTTTGAGCGCTTTGTGAGTTAAAATGAATTGGATTTTCCATTCCTGATCGTAAAGCATCGGCATAGGAAAAGCCGATGGTGGTGTTTCCCCGTACAGTCTCCGTATTATAGCTGCCATATAACTGAACGATCGGAAATGGCATTTGGTAGAAATATCAACTTTCGTATTTTTGAAGATAGAAGCTTGGGACTTGTTTTAGATTTTTTATTGTTACTGTGTAATTGGTTTAATAATGATATTATCATAAGGATCGGTCAACCATATCCGATGTTTACGACATATATACGGTTTTAACTGCAAGGCTCCGCCCGCAACAGCTTTCCTTTCTTGTTATACCCTTGCAGAGGGTATTATAATTTTGGTCAAAAGTGTGCAACGCAGTGAAGGAGACATTTCCGACCCTATAAAGTA